GCTCGAGTGGTATTCATCTCACCGGCGCTCGCTTGTGTTTATCCAGAACCGAAGTTAAATTATAAAACTATATTCATAAATCGTTTATTTAAAATTCTATTCGTTAAGTAATTATAATTTGATTCATCATTATATCTTTCTGTATTCGTCTGCACAATCAATCTTCGAGTTGTGTTGCCATTGGCGGCTTGATTCATTTTCTTATCTAGACTGTATTTCACTATTTGGTATGTCGCGCTATTTATCACTATTTAGTTAGTACCTTTTCACGCGTTTAGTGTTTGCACTCTATGAGAGTCCGACGTACGCCATGTGCAAGCATGCACTATAAATACTTTTCATTTTGTTATTAGGTCAGTATAGTTGCTAGGCAACATGGTGGTACATTTGAACCTTACCATACTGCATCTGGCTACACTCTGGAACTTTTATACCCAGGTCAATTAAGTGCTAAGGTACATCTCATATCACTTTCTTTTAATATCTAACATGCTATGATTGATTAAATATTCCTAGATTAACGTTCAATAAAAAGTCATTGTTCTGATAAAAAGGTGATTGTGTTGACTTTTTAATATAGCTCCGTTTTGGGTGATATGATGCGCATGCCCATTAATATCGAGATGATTTGGCTACTCATCCCCAGAGCACCACGGTCAACAGTCGTGACAAACGGCATACGTCACATTCGCTTTTCAGCACTTTTTATTTACAAATTTCCAATTTAAACATAAAAGCGCTTGGACAAAAGGAAAAGTGATGATATGCTCATGCACAAGAAAATACTAATCAAATCTGTATACAAATGCAAAAGAACAAGAAGAAGCTAGTGATCACGTGATTAGATTAGCTTAATTCGATTAAAAGAAAAAAAAAACATTGTTAGTCTCTACAAAATCTCCCTAAAAGCTATTTTAGTATGTTTCCAGCTGTAGGAACGGCACAACTACTTCTATTTTTTGCAAATAAACAGGAAAACTTGGTTCTCACATATCATACGATCACCAAACATTAGCTATATTAAGAAGTTGACTTTTTCTGATGAAAAGAACACAAGACGTGGCCAGCCATTACAGACTCTGGAACGATCTATCTACAAACGTTACCCTTTCAAAGAAAAATCCGTCATAAGAAAAGCTTGCTTCAATGCAATAGATGTAACTCTCTCTTCAATATTGGATAGTTCTTGTTTACTCGAGTAGAGTAACACTGTAAGAGTTAGTTACCGAGAACGGAGGCATTACGCTATATACAGCCCKAGGGCMGCAGGCCCGAGGGCTGTATATAGCGTAATGCCGACGTGCGAGGTAACTAACAAACTTAGTTTTCAATTCACGTGGTTTTCGCAAAGACTGAATAGACTAAATGAATGTTTTCTTAGTTGGGATTCGAACAATAGAATCCTCTCGAGACCTTTTCATGGACTTTTGAAATTAGTTTCCTTTAAGAAAACCTGTTCATGCGCAAGCGAGCTATCCAATTTTGAATATTGTTATCAAATATTCTTAGCAGTCATTCTGGAAACGATGTCGAACAGTGACGACGATTTGTGTATAGCTCAAAATACGTTTGACATCATTCCTTTGACGAACTTTGATATTGACTATTTGAGTCGGATTTGGAACTCCGTATGCCTCTGCCCGCAAATATAACGATGACAAAGTCTGCAGATGAGAAAAACAAGAGAAAAATTACAATAGTTTTTGATGTTGAACTCGCTCAAAGAAATACGAGGGAAGGATTCCAGAAGGAACAAACTAAAGTACCAAATGGCCGTGTGTACGTGCTTGGATAGAATGGACCGAGGAGCGGAGAAATACGAGTTACACTATTACTTCTGRTTCATACAYGTTGGYMCARYTTCGACGTATAGATTCTTAGTTAAAAGTAACGAAGATGGTTATTCTTGGTGTGCGAGTTACGTCATCACCGCCATGTTGGATGAAAATCACAAAGCATCACTGGAAAAAATCGCGCGCTATAAAGGTTGTAAATTTGATGTGTATATGATGTAAGTGTCCAAAATGATGTAAATTTGATGTAAATGATTTCCATCGAATTTACATCATTTTGGACACTTACATCATATTTCCATCAAATTTACAACCTTTATGGTGCGCGATTTTTTCCAGTGCATTCCTCATTAGTTTCTCTTGTTCATTCATCCAATATGGCGGCGATAGCTTTGTTCTTTATTTCTMAGGGGATTCTTGGTCATGTGGTTGCACACCAAGAATTGTTATTTCTTTTCTCTGATGAACACGAAGAAAAGCTGCGGGACTCGAACTTATTACGCGCTCAATCTCCCGTCAAGTTTTGCTAGTCACACTCGTCTTTTTAAGGGAAAAAATAGTTTAGTTTACTAAGTTCATTTGATATTCAGCAGGTAAATGTGGGGTTGATGAATTGAATCGAATAGCTGGTTATAAATTCAGCGGGCTATATATGAGTGATTCCGGTCACTCATATATAGCCCGCTGAATTTATAACTAGCTATTCAATTCAATTCATCAACCCCACATTTCCCTGCTGATTATCAAATCCCTCCCCGGCTTTAAGTTTCTATGGTATATACAACCCTATGAATAACAAAGAAAACCAAGTGAATTGGAAACTAATAAATGTTATTCACAGAATGACGAAGAAGGAACTGATTGATTGATTTATGGCTAAGCAGAGATTTTTAGCGGAAGTGAAAATGTATAAGGGCTACAATTCCCATCATGCTTTATTGCACAAAGTGGTGTCGCTGCAGGCGAATTGCCTATTAAGTCGTATGCATCTATGTACATCTAGTAGGCGTGTAGATGTAAATGCGCGCAGTGGTGTTGCTGAACATTGCCTTTTAGGTCGTATGCATCTATGTACATCTAGTAGACGTGTAGATGTAGATGCACGCAGTGGTGTTGCTGAACATTGCCTATTAGGTCGTATGCACGACCTCTTTATATCTCATAAAAGACAACTAGTAGAAATCCTGTTCTTATTTTAGGAAATATTTGATGCTGAACACTCGGTTAACTCGGTTGTTACGTGGGCTCTTCGTGGAGTTGGTTGGTTTATGTTGTTTTTTGGCTTTGTAATGATGACAAGCATACTGACTACATTAGGTAAGTAGTTTTTAACCTGTCAGATTTATTTGTTGTTTAGTTGGCTTGTTGGTCGACGCTGGTTCGGTGGTTGGTTAAGCCTTTGACGTCCGCGATTTATTTTGGATTTTAGGTTGTTTTTGAGACTGATATTTCAAAAACCGTCTTTAAGTGATTTTTCGAGTCATTTTCTGCCACAGAAGCCCCTAGGACTGCATTATAAAGCTCGACTAGGCGGCAGAGACACTCTTCTAGAAGAAATCAGAGGCGGGAAGCGATTTTTCGAAGACAATGTCGCCAATACGAAGTTATCTTTGAATTGCCGACGTTAGAGAAAGGTCGCCTCCCTAGTCGTCCTGTGCGGCGCTTGGGCATACTATTATTGATTATGTTTGATAAAAGACATTTTGCATGCATTCACATGTTAGTAAGTCCGCCATATTGGATGGCAAAATAATTTTTAAAAACATCTTGACTCTTCTTTGTTTTGAGCATGTCAGTGGGTATTTTGCCATCCAGCATGGTGGATTTAGTAACATGTTTTCATGAAAAATGACTATAATTATATTTCTTGACTTTTGTTGGTTTCTTCTAGTGTCTTGGCTTCCTATAGTACGAGAGTTAGTCGGGCTTGGCGTCATCATCACATGTCTTTGTCTCTCGACATCATTATCCTTGGTTACCATAGCAATCGGATGGATTGCCCATAGACCTTTACTAGGCATGGCACTATTGGCAGCTGCCGCTGTACCCATTTTACTATCAAAATTCAAACAAGGCGGAAAGAAGAAAGAATCAAAGCTCTGAAATCTAGACTAAATACTAGAATATTGCCGCCAAACAGACTGAAAATCGAATTATTAGCAAATGTCACACCACACCACACCACACCACACCACACAACACTATATTACATTATACTCACTAAACTTGAACCTCCACTAAACACACCGCCTCGTGTGTGTGTCGAC